CCATTTGGGCTGATCACTTAAGGCGTTAGTTCAACTTTTCACAAGGGGACAAGTTGAAACCCACTTTTTCCATGACGTCAGTGTACTTGAATGGAGGGAATCCTTCCTGATCCACCCACCGAGCGGTCGGATGGGGTGAACACGGATTGCAAACCAAAATAGTGATGTGTTTGTTGTTCTTGTTTTTGTTGTTGCTGCTTGCTGTTGTGTTTTGTTTTTGTTCTCTCTCTCTCTCTCTATGCGCCGTACCATCCCCGAAGTTAGCGTTGAATCTAGACTGCGAAACTTGCCTTGTGGTGGAAAGCTGAAAGGCTTAGGAGAACCTCTGACAAAACATCCCAGAACTCCCTTTGCGAGGATCATTCCGCAGGAAGAGATGGGAATCCTTCTGCTGGGATTCGCCCAAAATATTCTCACGGGGTCCTGCATGCCCAGTGCCTTGACCAAGGCATCTGCCGCCTTCTGCTTGATGGTGTTGATGTCCTAAAGGAAGGCGTCCCTTGGCGCCCCTTGGGGCATTGGGACGGAGGGGGGGGGGAGAAGGGCTTTTTGAGGGGCCGTTGGAACGAAGAAAAGCCACACACAGTGCGGGAAGATCTGTTCCTTTCCTGTGTCCTGCCTGGTGCATAAAAACTGTAGTCGAGTTGTGAAACGCAGCGGGATCCAAATCCAAATAATTCATATTTTCGTGGACCCTCATGAGGATACATCCAAAGCCACATGATTTACCAGGCGATCCTCTGGCTGCTCGTTTGGAACCGGCCCAAATCAAGTTGCCCTGTACAACCTCCCCCCCCCCACGGCCAATTCTGCTCGGAAGGCGGCTGGGAGATCTGGCTCAAATAGGTTGTCAAGCTTTGTGGGTCCCACCTGCTTAAGGGGAAGGTAGGGGTTGTCAATTGGCATTTGCGAGGTGTAGGTCCCGGATTTGTAGAAACACACATATGGTTCGGTCAAAGCTTCCAGTCTGTAGTGAATTTGGGCTGGGCATTGAATGGCTCATCTTTCAAACTCGTGCGCAAGCCCGAAATCTCTAGTTGCCCTCTGACCCAAACTGTAGAAATAAGGAACCCCTTTCTTGGGGTTGATATCATTCTAAGTGGGGGACCTGCCAAACAAGCAAAGTTGAGCATTTTAACTCTGGAACCTACACCATTGTGAAAGTAGATGACCTTCAATTGCCTTTAAGCAAAGGGGTGGATCAACACTTCCTGGGGGCATTGTGCCATTTACTTTCACTGGAGGCGGTGACGCGCTGGGATCCATTGGTTGCTCGTCCCTTCCTCTGAATCCTCGACGCTGCAATTGTCCGCGGCCCACATTGCCAGGGACCCGGCCACCTCAGTCGCAATCAAAACCGGACCTCCCTTGAGCAAAAACAAGAGGGGTGGGCTTCCTCCAAATCCAAGTGAATCACAATCAAAGCCTAACTGCATTCGAGTGGTGCACCCCAAACCATGTAAAGAATCAAAAGGGCTGGGACTGTCCCTGTCCACCCTTCATCCACCTGGGTTTTGATTGTCGTCCAAACCGAGCCCAGACCTCCAAAGGCAACAACAGCAGCTGATTTTAGGATAGTTGATTCCGCAAGTCAACGTGGTGCCACTGGAGTTCTGGGTTTTGCTGGCCATGATTGACATGCCAAGAGTCATCAGCCACCATCAGCAGGGTGATTTCCCACCAACTCGCTCGGAAGGAAAAGGTGAGGTTGAGCACTTTTAGTTGGGCGCCTGCCAAAGGTTTAAGGCCGCCGCTGAACAAATGGGCCAACTAGGTACCCGCTTTTCTTCCGAGTTTGGGTGATTGTTGACTTTTTTCAGGGCCAGCCCTCAAGGAAAAAAGGGCACTCCTCTACAAACAATGGCGGTTTGGGTTCCCTGTTTTTCTGCAAGAGTGCAGGTTCCATGCATCTTGGGGGGGGGAATGTGGCTAATCCCAATCCTTACTGTACTCTTAGAATTGCTCCCAACTATAAGGTTCCTGAGGGAGTGGGTCCATGTTACTTGGCGGGCAATCCCTCAATGGGAAAACACTGCAAACGATTTCAAGGGGCCATGGAAAAAGCGCATTGGGAAGAAGTGGAAAAGGAGGCCCAACCTTCCGCTCCAGACGCAAATGATGAGAGGTCACTTGAGGCAGATTGAGGAAACACGGATCATTCAAATAGTTGAAGGCACTGTGGAATCAAAGCGCACGAAGACCTCTGCACTCTACACAAAGTGCCCCCTTCCAAGTCGCAAAATCATCTTTTGAACTGCAACTAAGCATGCCCAGAATTTGTTGCCATGGAACTGCAAACTATCCAAGTTTCAAGTAATGGTGCACTATGAGTAAGCAGTCCAAAGAGTTCTCATGCCCTCATGTCCATCCCAATGGACCAGGGACTGCAAGTTGTACCGTCCTTTTTTGGGGCGTTCTCCTTCAAACAAGACGCAACGATAATTAATATGGATGCATATTATGTAACAAACCTGATGTCCCTTGCGCGCCTCCGTCCGGGAATGCAGCGCACTTTCAAGACGCCCGTCTGCGCAGGCCGCCAGAAGCGTGTCCTGGCAAGAAGCCGAGAGCAAATCGGCTAAGCCTTGCCCTGATAAACGCGAAGCCTTCTGACAACGCTGCCTAAGAGGTGCCCCGGAGGTTTCAAACATTCATTTCAGGATATTTCAGGTATTCAACTGTAAGTAATGGAGATACTTGGAGACAATATGATTCATTTTAATGGATCATACTTTGGAGTTGGCAGTTCAACTCTAATTGGGTTTGCTGCAATTATGCATTACATTGCCTGGAGAATTGACCAGCCTTTGTTGCATTATGATCATTGCACTACTCCAACATTAAAGAGCCCTGAATGGTGCGGTCAGACTGTGGGTACTCGGCGGTTGTGGCCTTTGGCCCCGCGAATGTGGTGAACAAACTTCGGCCAAAGAGCTCTGTTTTCCTCGAAATGTTCCGGTGGTTTAATTGAAACAAGAGGCTGAAGAGGGCGTGCCCTGAAAATTATTCGACCCGTGAGTCTTACATCCTTTCACTTTTATCTCCAAAAGCCATTCATGGTTGTGGCAAATTGGGCTTCAGAGGCACTGTTGATATCCGGATGCAGAAGTCATGGGGATGGGAAGCCCACTTTGGCAGGATACAGCCTCGGGCGCAGCAATGAGATCACTCTGACCAACTGGGTGTGGTTCCGTTTTGGAGGGCGTTTTGGGTGGTCTTGTGGCGCGAAACCAAAAGGACACTGAAGCCCATTTTGGTTGGCACCAGATTTTGAGGCAAGCCCAAGGGTTGAAACTGCCCATGGGCCAAGGTATCTGCTAAAACCAATTCGGAGCTGCTGAATCAGCTGGAAAGGGTGTCCCTTGTTACTTTACATGAAACCCAAACAGGCCCCGCCCACCGAAAAATGGTTCGGCTTTTGGGCCCCATGTTTGGCAAACTCCGCCTGTTCTCCCCGTTTCTCCCCGTTTCACCCGTCCTTCGCAGCCAGGCGCAGGCCCTGGCCCGGAGTCGAGTGAAGCGCCCAGAATGACATGAGCAAATGAAAGAAGCCACAGGAAAAGGAAAAGTCCGATGGCTCGGAAAGTCTTCCAAACTTAAAGGTTGGTTCACCTTTTGGAACCTCCAAGAATGGGTCAAGAACTGCCTGAACAGTTCACAGGTCAGAATTGGCCTTCCGAAGTCTGCGGGATTCAAAGAACCAAGGCGAACAAGGCATCTCTATCTGGGTGCAAAGCAGGGTTGGGTAACAACTTTCACACACACTCCTGGGGTCTGGCTTGAGGTGACACAAATTGACACAAGGGGCGCACAAGGCCCGCCAAAGGGCCCGGCTAAGGTGGAGGCCCCTCGGCCGCTTCCCGGAAGGACCGCGCCTCCAAATCCTCCTCCGGCGCCGCCTTCAGCACCTCCGCAGACAGATCCTGCGAGTGAAGAGAGCCCGTGGTGTGTCGGCTTCCAAGGACTTCCCATGATTTCCATGGGACAAAAGGGCACGCCCGTAGGGGGGGGGTGGGGTGTGGGGCTTGATTTGTCCTGGGGCCTCCGTAAGTTTGCCCCTTGACGACCATGCATCTCTTAAGCAAAGAGGCAAAGTTTCATAATCTTGTCTTGTAATGCAAAAGGAAAGCCATGCCTGTCCCGAGAAGAACTTGAGCCCAAAATGGCAAACCCGACAGCACAATGATAGAAACACCCCAAAACAAGTACAGGGGCAGTGGTGAGCCCACACCTCCGGTGGTATGGTTGTGGCAAATATACCAGTGATTGCGACATCGGCAACTCCTATGACCACTTTGCCCACAATAAAAAAGGCCACATTGGATTCCCAGAATGAAGCTGTAGCAGAAAACTTTATTTGGAGGAATCCTGGGGGCCTTGGGCTCGGGCTAGCGGAGGGGGCTGCAACGCGAGAAAGCCGGCTCCAAATGAGGAGGCGGGCGAGGCAGCGAACCATTCAGCACAACAGTGGTCATCAACCACCCTCTTCCTACTCCGCAAGCCCTGATTTGGATGCTCCAATTTGGACACTCCCATTTCAGTGTAGAGCTGAGGCGATAAGAGCAAGCCCTGTTGCGAGCACAGCT